TCAACTCAGTGCTTAAAACCAAATGAACTCGCTAAAAAGTAACACTGTACTTCTCAGAGAGGGTAAGACTACTTTCTGTTATTATATTAATTAACCCTTTAACTCCCAAAAGTGATTCAAATCAAACTTCTCCCCACAATATCCAAACATTATCCAGCAAACAGGTAATGAGAATACTCAAACATATCAAGTATAAGTTGTTGTCTTGATCTAACACCAAATTCTTGTTACTAATTTAAAAGGAAATACGTAGTAGCAGGAAGGGAGAATTGACTATTGGATCTTGGAAGGATGAATACCCTGAATATGTATGCTATACCTTCCATCTCCTGGTTTGTTCATAAACCCCCACTTCATGCCAGTTGGGAAACCTGAAAGAGTGGAGAAATATTCCACATCTCATTTTTTAATTGTTGGAAAATCAAACAACACACAACCTCTTCATTACACAGACGTCAGCACATTGCCAGAGAAAAAAAAAATCACAAACCAACCTGCCCCTCCACGTCCTCGTAATCCAGATTTGCTGATTTCTTTGATGATCCAGTCCTGCCCTTTCAGTATGATTTCTTTTGTCTTGTACCAGTCACCCTGAGATGAACAAAAACACACAAAAATGGAAAATATTTCGACTTTTGTTTTGTTACAAGATTTTTTTCAACCTGAACCTGGTTGTCTGAAAGGTGGTTAGTGCTAATCTAGGATTAAAAGTTAAACTTGCTCTTGATTTCTCTAGAAAGAGTATATTTCAGGGCTTATATTTTAAAGGTTTTGCCCTAGGAGATGACCAAACAGAAGGAATATAAACTGCTAAAAATGTCTGTAACACTACAAAACTAAATAAAAAATTGTTGGCTACCCCTTTCAGAACTCCTACCGCCTTCAAACTACAGAAAAAGAGATAACTTCAATTAACTCCAGTATCTTAACATGAGTATGGACATAACCTACCCTTTTACGTGCTCCTGACAACTTCCAATCATGGCGACCGTACAAGTTTGTAAATATACGGTCCTCGTCCTGGCAACAAACAAACAAATAGATAGGTGCATTTCATTAGCAAGAGATACCTTCATGTATCTGATATTGTATTACTGCTAGTGTCTTTTTGCTCTAGATACAATTTCGCATTTCTACATCATATCCTGCAAACTGAAAGATTTGAATCTATTAAAAATGTGAAAAGACTAACCTTTAAGTTTCCAAAGGAGGTTTTGGTCTGAAAATAAAAAATAACAGCAAATTAAGTGAGTCCACAGAGAAAAAAAAAAAGACAGGTTGATTATGCATCAAAGTTAATCAAGCACCATCCATTATTACAAAACCCACTAAAAACAAGAAAAACTAACAAACACCACCCCTGAATAAGTGCTGTATATAGAGGCATTGCACTTATTCTTTGATTCCTAAGAGTGACTAGCACCTAATTTCTACTCATAGCATCAGCCCTGAATTGCACAGGAAGGTCATGAGAATCTCCAAAATGATCACTCAATGAACGGGGCTCAGAAACTATAGACCATTATAACATCATTCTTCCTATTATATTTATGAACTTGCGTCATGAAGGGGGACAGTAGCATAAATTTTCAGCAAACATAGAGCATGCCAGTACAAAGAGAAAACTAAATCATCTCACCCAAACTACACAGTGAATTATGTTTTGATCATGTTTCCATTTTAAGTGCTTAGTCACTTTCGAGAGTGGCCCTCAAAATTTCAGAGGTGCTATAGCACTTAACCAAGTAAAAACTGCATTTAAAACTCTTAAAAACAAACCTGTGATGGAGTAGCCGCTGTGGAAGACAACCTTGTGCTAACCAAAGCTCGACATAACGAGTGTAACTGCCCTCCTTAAATATTTAGAAACAGATATAAAAAAATCAGTTTCGTTGATGTTGTATAGATCACATTCCATAACGAGCCCAAAGCTTCCGTTACACAATGTAAAGCTGTACAAAGTTTAAACCAAGCCGAAGGTATCCCGTCGTAGTCTCAGAGCACTTCAGCTCATATCGACGGTTGTGTTTCACACGCAATAACAGTTTTTCTTGTTTTAAAAACGTACCTTGCAATCCATTTGTGTGTAACCTTGTTAAAGGCTTGGCCATGGTGATGGCTTCTGGTTGATCTATGAGAGTTTAAATCTCAATTAACAATGTGAACGACAGAGAATTCTTTAAGTCGTGGATCACAAGTTGCATAACTAGACACTCCGTTCAATATGGCGGACTAGTCAACAAAGCAGATGAATGATGGGATATTTGGGTCCAGTACTTTGCGGATTAATCTCGGCTGTGAGTTCCTGGTACTGGTAAAAAGTGTGCTTTGGATGACAAATAAAAGCATTGAAGGAGCGGACTGTTTTGTCCAAAAATATTGCTAGGTGACATACTTAGCCAAACCAGAGTTCTCGGTTCCAGACCTCTCTATTTAAACTTATGCCCCATTCACACCAAAGCTTAAACATGTTTAAAAGTTGTTTTGTTAAACACAGTTTAATTTTTTTTTTCTTCATAGAAACTATTTAACCGAATATTTTTGACTTGAATGTAGCACATTGGAAATGCAAGTTAGCTAGTACTTGAATCCAATGGAAAATCAAGTTTTTCAGTTCTCTGTTTATAATTTTCATTCAATGAAAACCAGTTTAACAAAACATGTTTTGCTGGTGTGAATGGGGTATTAGACTTAACAGACTTAACCATTTACTCGCTCTGACGAAGGGCTAACGATCGAAACGTCAGCTTTGAAACTCTTTACGGTGGCCAATTTACATAAGCGACTCAGTTGATAAAGCCAAATTATCTTCAGTAAATTATCACGGTGGCTAATTCACATTATCAACCCAGTTGATGTAACCAAATTGTGACCTGTTTTTGCATAACTTAAACGCTTTTTAGCAAATTTATTGTTGCATAAAGGGGTAAGTTTCTAAAGAAACTGTGGTGCTGCGTCGGTGGGAGAGTATAGCAGGTAATTTGGTGTTAACAACTGGGTTGAAAACGTAAATTAGCCACCGTAAAGCTTTTTTACCCTTTACGGTAGCTAATTTACGTTTTCAACCTAGTTGTTAACACTAAATTACCTGTTATTGTTGCATACATAATAAATATTTTGTAAATGTCCCTTGAGAGCGCGTCTGACGCAGATGTGTTTTTTTCTTGCCATTTTTGTACGATCTTTTATAAGAGGAAAGTTTCCGAAAGTTCCTTATGAAACGTGAGCTGAGAATCTTCAGATTAGTATTCGTTTATTTCGCATACAGTTCTTCTTTGATTAAAGAAACGATGACGCAAACAATAGCTAACCTTTGGGAGTTAGGCTTTGTCTTTGTCTCTTGCATGGATCCGTTTGGTGATGGCCACCAGATGCAACTACATAGTTCATAAAGCCGGAAAAAATGAATGATTAAAACAACGTAACTGCGTTTCATGTTGAAACTCAGTAGCCATGCAAAATCTTTTGTCTTTTTTTTTCACTCATGGTGAGGTAATAAATCATTGGGACGTGTAAAGTTGTAAGCCATGAAGGCTTCAAAACAAGAACTTTTTTTTGCAAACACTAATACTAACTCTCACTCAATTCCCGCCCGCTGTCTACTGTTAAAGTTCCTGGATGTACTTATCCTTAAAGTAATATCGCTTGCCTGTTTAACCACAGCTGGAACTTTCTTGTGGTCACTTGGCTCAAAATGATTGGAGGTCCATTGAACGTTCTGTTCGCCGTCCGAAAAACGGCTGGGAAAAAGAAAAAGCCGCAAAAATCTTGTTTTCAAAGTTTTTTTTTTTTTTTTTATCATATTCGACAACTGTGGATATCCAGCCACAAGAACAATCAATCTAAAACCCTACTGTACTCAACTGTAATTATAATAATGCGATCCAAAAAATATATATTTTTGTTGATTGGGTCATTTGACTTTCTTAGATACAAGTCATTGTCGCATAGGGTGGGGAGGGGAGGGGAGGGGAGAGGGCAGTTGTCATCAATAGAGTATAAAGGGGTACTATAGAAAATCGACTGCAACTGCCAAAGAAGGTGGTGGGGGTGGGGATTCATGAGAATACTACTGAGCCATATATGACGAAAGTGAATCATTGGTCAAGAGATTCTATGCAATTGTGACACACAATGATAAAGTGACACAAAAGAAAAACAAAACAAAACAAAAGTAATTGAACATCTACGGCTTACATATAGCCCTGCATATCTTGAGCGACTTCATTTCGCCGCCTGAAAGTGATCGAAGCAAGTCCACCAAAAGCGAATTATCTTAAAATGATGAAATCAACTTTCTTGGTAGCTTTCGTGGTTACTGCATTTCTGCTGGTCATTCTATCAGCCCGGAAAATTCCAAATGCCAGACATGTGCAAGACTCTCCAGGTTAGTTTTGAAGATAGAACTGTTATTGCATCAAATCCGCTTTTGCAGTTGCGCGCCTTTTTTTTCAAAGGAAATTATAAAAAGTTGAATTACCTTGAATTAGACAAGTGCTCACAACTGGACCTAAATTTCGAATCTCTGTTGAACACGCGAAAACACACGGATTTATTTCTTTGGTGCTAGCTTGAAGTTTTTCAAATTTAATCCGCACTCAAGCTTCCGATTTGAAGATTTTTAAAAGACTCGCTTTTCTCTCGATATTATTTTGTATTACATAATTTTTTTTGTGTTTTTCCTCCAAAGAGCGTTCTCTCAAGACTGGAGGAAAAACATCATTGGCTCGGTTCTTCGAAAGAGCTATGATTCCGATGCAGGATGGTAAGTTACTGAATATCTTGTAGTTAGGATGCGCGCCAAAAGTAAAAGGCTTCTGTATGCTAAATCAGTAGCGCCTTAAATTGCTTATGACACGAAATTTTGTTTTTGCATTTTCTGGTTAATAGCTGTTTTTAAGATTTGAAATAATTGACCTTAGCGCTTAGCGAGCTCCCCTTGACAATTTTTTAGCGCACTGAAAGTACGATTTTGCGAAAACAGTGTTTGTCAGTGTTAAGGATATCGAACAAAGAACAGCCTTTTTGTTGATTAGACCAATTGTCAATTACTTTAATTTGCGTGCCTAGTTACGATCGTAGTTACAATGTTTATCCTTTTCCCTATTGGTTTGTAATCGGATATTTTAGCGTCACCACGCGCATATAAAAGCTAAATTAGCGTCCCTATAAGCCAGAGTTTCGTAAGATTTCGCCTTGAACAGCAATAACTTCGTCTTTCGTTCCAAACCTTTGGCACAAGCGGGACCGATATGTAAGTGATTTTGTTAGTTTTAATTCAATATGTTTAAGTTCAGTTTTTTACCTTGGGCGATAGCGCACATATGTACTGTGTTGTACAACAGTACAACTAATTATCTTGAAATCAAAGGAGTATTTTGAAATAACTAGACGCTCACACAGTAACGCCCACATTTTAGTCTTTGGGCTGTTAATCAGCCGCAAATGGTCATTGTGTAGCCGATCTTTGAATCTCGAGTAGTTTTAATTTAGCCTTTTATGATTTGTTTATGTTAATTCACGTTGATTGTTGTTATTTTAATCGCGTTATCGACATAAGCACGTAAAGCGTTTCTTTCATGCCTTTCGCACCAATTCAATTAGATTCATGCTTTCGTTATGATATTATTGCAATTTCAGTTTACGATCGTGATCGTGACCGTGATCTAAATAAACACCGTTGATAGTCATCTTGGTTTTCATGGTTTCATTACGACCGGTAAAATAGTCCCCACATCAGCGATACTTAGAAAACACGCATAGCGACACCCCTCGAAGTTTCCTCTTTCGTCGCAAGCGTCACAGTCAGTCTTGGCGTAATCTTCGTTCGATGCACGTAGCTCTCCTTAGTAGGCTGAACCGTTCTCGCAACTTTTATTTCTTCTTTACTATTTATGCATGAAGGTAGGTATAAAACGCTATTGGACATTATCTCAAGAGTATTTCAACGCTGACTAATTCAAAATTACAAGAGATGTGAGAGAGTTTTCACAGTTTTCTTCGTCATCACCCGCTAACTCGTTACCAGTCTACGGGACACTTTTAAGACAACATTAGAGCAATTTAACGCCCGGAAAAAAACGAGTTTCAATTTTTTTCCTTTTATTTTCTATCGGAATTGGTTTATACCTATTATAAGTTAAATGAGTACCCAAAAAAAATCCGTGTCATAGGCACTTTGATTTCTTTGAAGAAAAAGGCGGGCGGTGGTTAACAGAGCTCTCAAACAACTGAATTGTGTCCTCAAACAGAAAAATTAACATCTCAGCTACCTTCTGGATCCCATGGGAATCGACTTAAAAAAAAAAACAAAAAACCAAAACAACTATGGGGGCTTTTGTTTTTTAAAACAATAACACCTAATTATAAAAATGTTGATGATAAGAAAAATGCAAAAGGCGAAAATATAAAAGAAAACTTATAATAATAATAATAATAATAATAAAATAATTAATCGAGCAAATCTAGATTTTTAATGTTCACCTCAGAGACTGTGCCGTGAATGAAAACTTTTCCAAAAAGTGGACAGGAGACGTTATTGAATTACTTTAAATCAGTTCAACTCGAATTTTTTTAAGAAATGCCTTAGAACTGTCAAGATTCTTGGAAGAAAATTTATATCCTAATTATTTCTAAATGGGTTTTCCCTTTTGATTTTGTGTATTTGTTTACCACAAAGAGACCTTTCAAAACCGCCTCGCCGCCAACACCTGGGTTCGTGATTTAGTAAGCACTGACGCCCAACAAGCAGCTACTTAGCAAAGATCTAAGCCCGCTAAAGACTTGATAACTTTTTCAGGCCTCAAATTTAGACTGCAGTCGACTCCCGTTATTCCAGACACCCTCGGGGGAGATTTAGTGTCCGTAAGAGCGAGAGTCTGCAATGGCAGGAGAACGAAAGAAAAAAAATTGTTTTGTCTCTAAACATGTGAATTAATATGTAATTACGCAAACAGAACGAACCAGAAAAAGATGCGGCCGCAAGCAGGAAATTCTTATATTCGCACCCAATTGAAGAATGGTTTCTTTGTTTTCGTTTATCAGGCTGTCGCTTCATTTTGGACCGAGTAGCGAGTAGCGAGAGAAAAAACAAGTGAAATGTCGCGCTGGCGGGGGGGAATGTATATGTGTGGGGTGGGGGAAATGCATATGTGGGGGGGGGGGGGGGGGGGGGGGGGGGGGGGGGGGGGGGGGGGGGGGGGGGGGGCGCTGTGTTGTGTTCTCGGTTGATCAGACACGTTACTTTAAGTACATTGGTGAATGGTTAGGAAAGTTTCACGATAAACGGATATGTAATCTATAAAATTACCAAAATTTTAGCCGTTAAAGCCAGCACCCCATTGTGACCTTCTTAAAAAAAGAGGAGTCTATCCTGATGCCTTAAACCAAAACGTTGCCAAACCGTTTTATTACGCTCCAATAAATCAACACCTAACTTTTTGTGTGTGTTTTATTCTTCCAGCGACTGAATATTGTCCTTGTTACTTTTGTGCCTGTGACTGGGGTGTGACAGATCCGGACTGTGATTGCAACGCTTCTCTCCCAGACGAGGAAGGATCGGGAAGTACATAAACATTTAGCCAAATACAAGAATGTAATCGATTCTTTTTTTAAAATTCGGTGTACGTTGCTGAAATAAAGTGCACCACACTCAAGAAATCGATGTTATATTTAACGTGTTACGAGTTATTTTCTTTTGAGTGGCAGGTAATTTTTTTTTAACATATCGAAAGGGGAGGGGAACCCGCGTTGTGTGGAGGATTTTGGGGGTACGTTTTCAGAAGAGGAGGGGGAGAGCCATCGTCGTTAAATGAGTATTAAGATGGGAATATAGAAAATTGACTGCCAATGAGAGAGATCATTAGAATACTACGGGGCCTTAGTAAGGATCAGGTAAATTTCATTGCGACATAACCAATACACCCCCCTCCCCTCCGCGTCCCTGGCGATAAACGATCAGCATTCACCATTTTGATGCTCATTTTGCTTTCGTTACGTCAACAAAAACTTCCATTCGGCTGAATTAGGAATCCATACCGTTATTCACTCACCTCGGACACCCTTATCATCATTTTGCTTCGCTTGTTTTATTTCGAAATGTTCCGCGCACATTGTATTCAATGTCCAACCGTTTACCATAAAATAAAACCTTGATCTTAAGTTAGAGTGGCTTCCTCCTAAGCTAAGCTAGAATTATTTTCTTTCTGAATACAGATATTAATTTTGTTGTCGGACTGATGTTGGTTGGTATTTACTCGTCGCTGATCAATATTTTTCTTCCGTTTTGTCGATTATATTTTTTGCCCTTTTTCGTCGGTGGTTAGCCCCATTTAGACCTCTTACATAAAAATATAAAGGTGTGGTGTTTATTGGAAACCAAAATATTCTAATTAAACCCAAAAGAAATCTATGGAAGACAGAGCGGAAAGTTGATATTTGGATCCTAAGAAAGAAAAGATTTGAGCAAGGAAGAGCTGATATTAAGCTATTGGGGTCATTTATGTCAGAGAAAGCCTCCACTACAGAAAAAAAAGGCCTTTGATTATCACTCAATAGGATCATCATGGGCATGAATGGAAATATATCAGTTAGTTCGAGAAAAATTCGACACAAATATCACCCATTTTGAGACTGCAATGGACCATTTTCGATGTAATTAAATGCCAACATGGCTCCGAGGCAATAAAACAAAATAAATTAATTATACATCCATAAACCTCGATATGATTTCCTTTGTTTTATTCCCCCAAGCCCCTGAGCCGTTTGAATGTTAACATACCGGAAATGGCCAATTTGTGTGCACGCTGCCATGTTGGATTGTATGACGCTTTATGGTTGCAACCATATTCGATACGATCCCTTTGGGACACTCAGAAACGAAATAGCTTCTGTTTGATGACAGGGTAATTTTCGGGTGTCGAAAGTAATCTCAACCAGTCAGATGCAAACTAAAAACAATCGCGACTTGTCGTAAACAAGCAAACAAACAAACAAACAAACGACCAATCAGAAGAAAGTAAAATACCGTTAAGAGCCAATGACAGAGTTAAAGGAACCAAACTGCCTAAAGCGCGGGAAAACGCGGGATTGGTTTTGGTTTTGCATTTGATTTCTCGAGAGAGTGGCCCATGTTTTCTAGACCAATCGCAGAGGGTCTTATAACGGGGTTAACCGTTATCCGAGGACGGCCAAAAAATTTAGCCGTTAGGCGTAAATATTGACAAATTTTAACCGGTAATCGTAAAAATAGATGTCCGTAAAAAATTTCCTTTGAGAACGATGGAAATATATATCAACCGTTTGCCGTAAATTGGCCGAAATCTATCACCCCATTGAGAACCTCATTACAGAGCGAAGTTGTACATAAACAAAGCAATCACAGATTACTTTTGAAACTGAAATGAAAATTTACTTTAATCCTGGTTTCTCAGCTACTCTAATGGATCTTTATATTATAAAACATTTTTTATGTTATAGGCTGGTTTCTGGAAACAAGTGTCACTGAATCTTTTGTGGCGGCAATTTGCTCCTCCCTTCAGTGGAGTCTTGTCGTGCAAAGAATATTAAACGAGAGAGACCTGACTGGTGGATCTATAAACTCTACAAGGTCTCATTTGATTTGATTCAAATTCCCTGGCTTTATCCCAAGCTGGCCTGCTGAGGACGATCTGACTTGTCGATCTTTTGATAGGCTGGTTACTGACAACAAGTCTCACATTATCGTTTGTGTTTTTTGACCCAGTCCCCGACCGCGGTCGTCCCCCGTTATGCATTACGGGCATGCTACCGTGCCTCGTGAGTGAGCCAAATACAACAGGTAGTTTTTTTGGGGAAGGGTAAGACACTCTGTTGTCGTCCTCGACTTCGTTCTGTTGGCGACGATATCCATAAAAAGCGAAAGTTTTTGATCTGGTTGTGTTCCGCTGTAGAGCGTCTCCGGGAATCTCGTTGATAACTGGCATACTTCCAAAGCGATTGAAAGTTCCGTCCGCAAAGAACTGGGGTCGATTTCGCGGTGACACTACGTCGGTTGATGGTCGTTCGACTTCGATTCCCGCAACACTCCGCGCGCGGACTCGGACTACCCCACGCGTGGGTCCACGCTCAGTTTCACCACCGCCATTTTCTTCTCGTTTCACACCGTAACCGGCATACTTGGAAGAAAAAGAAAAAGAGCTGCTTCTAGGTCTGACGGGTGGCGGAAAGGTTTTTAACAATTCTTGTACACTCTCCTCTAACTCCTCATCATCGCTTCGTTCTTCATCGCTCAAGATCCCGGAATCTTGTTTAACGTGACTTATTCTGAGCTCTTCCCGATCGTTGTTTACGACTTCAACTTTGGTGACGTAGCCTCGAGCGTGGGTGGGTTTGGGTTCGGGTTCGGGTTCGGGTTCGGGTGTATCTTCTTGTTGGTTCTCTAATTCCCATTCCTCCCGCTCGGTTTTAAGCTCCTCTCGGAGACTGGAGATGCTTGAACGCATTGTCAAGAGCTGTTTGTGCATGTCTCTGTCTTGCAACTGCATGGTCACCTGCAAAGTTTGATTAATTGACTTAGCGAAATGCACAACTCCATTAAATCACTGAACAAAGTACGTAAGTTTCTAAAGAAACTGTGTGCTGCGTCTGTGAGAATATTACAGGATAATTGGGTTTTATTGACTGAGTTGAAAATGTAACCACGGAGAGATAATTGCCACCGTCAGAGCAAATGACGAAGGACTAACGTGTTGCTGTATACCTGCTGTTTACGCGACTGTACATACTCGTAAGCCCTTACTCGATCCTGACTCAAAGACAGTGTTCCCGCAATTCTAGATAAGGATATTGATGACTCCAATTCGGTCTTCTTGTATCATTTTGTTTATTTTCTTAAGTCACCGAGGCGCCATCCACTATCATTTTCATCTAAACGGCCAATATTTATACACAATAAAGTTTATATTCAACGCGTGCCATGGCTCTTTTTTTTCCCTCCTTTCTGATACCGTCAACTAAATATAAACTTTTGTTGTTAGGACCTGAATGGCGACAGAAGGCTTGTGAAAGCTTACTACCGAATTCACAGCAATTTTCAAGCAGTTAAAAAAGCCAATCGGAGTGAAGGTTGACATCACTATTAGCCAATGAGAGCTCGAATTTAAAGCCGATAATGTGCCTGATGCGCGGGAAAATGTGAGTGCGTAATCGCGGTTTGTCTTAGTTTTGCATTTGAAAGGTGGCGTGAGTTTTCTAGACCAATCACGTCGCGAAGTAAAGCAATAAAAAAGCCATCCTAAATAACTTGTGACAAGCTATTCAAACTTCTATCATCATACGGAGAAATGATTTTTTACAAGTAAATAAGTAGTAATTGGAAAACTGTAAGCTTTATTCCAAGAGTCGTGCTCTTACTCACCTCGCCCCTACCCAACTTAACACCCAAAAATATGGGACCTTTTTCTTTTACTGAGCTACTGAATGGTGTCAAATTTCACATGGACTTAACACCGGAAGCTGGATAAGCTCGCTTCATAGTGAAACCTGTATTAAGCCGACACCCACGGGATTAGTAAATTGCGTAATGACAGGCTTAAACTTTTCGGTCTGTTTGAGATCAATAAAGACGTCACTAACTGCTTTATTAAATTAAATGTTTCGCGCCTTTTTATTCTTCTTCTCACTTTGATTGACGCGGATTGCCAAAAGGAAATTAGATTGCAAATATCGCCGGAGACAAAGAAGGTGTATCTCGCTTATTCTAGTTTATGCATCAACATGTTTACTCGACACATTTCGGTGCTGCTGGGTCATATCACATTTTTAGAAAGGATAGGAACACCAAAAGATAGAATTTGGCGATTTTGAAAGAATCTTTCGAGTTTGGTGAGGTTCCAGCTTAAAAAATAAAACTTAAAATGTGAATATTGCGCCGACACGTTTGATGGATTTGTGGTTTATATCGGTTTTTCGAAATCACTTCACCACTATCCTCTCTTCCATGTTATGATCTATCAAAAAATTTCCTCTTTGCCATTGGTTTAAACGCGTCACTTTGACCAATATATCCAAAATTTACGGGGAGTATCAAGTGTTATTAAAAACTGGATCATTGGTTAATGTTATTCAAGATATTTCATTGGCTTAGTCATCATGCATCATTGGTTATGAGCCATTATATCCTGCATGCGCACGAAGGCGAGCTATACCAGAAGAGTTTTTGTACATTGTAACATGCTGATCGTTCTTAAAAAATAAAGTTGGAAGATTTATCTATATTTTAGGGTGTTTTTAATAAAAAAGTTATTCCACTCGCGCTTGTAGAAGATACGGGCCGGCCTCATCCATGTCCAACGCACGCTCGTGGGGTAATTGATAAGTATTCAGTCTGTGATATTTCTCGAATTGTGGACCATGCCTCCACTTCGATTATAGTATATAGAAGTTGATTTAAGAAAGCAAAACATATAGCTTTTGTTACAGGGAGTGAGGCAGACATATTTGTTTTATAAAGTCTCTCCGAAAAATCAACATCCGTTTTCCACAGTAAGCTGTTTGTAAATGTTTTGTTTCGTGTACCACAAAAAAAATTGGAGGATGATAGAGACAATAGCCAGCCTTAGGCTCGCAAATACGCTTGTATATTTGACCTGTCTATAGAGGCTCACAGCTTTTCTTGAGCGTCCCTATGGGAAGATAGATTATTTGCATCTCACAACAGACAGCGTTCCCGAACAAATATCCAACATTAGACGCGCTAATGGGAGCCTTTTGATCACATTTAAGTTATTTTAGCCTTAGTTTGTCAACACACGATAAACCTCCAAGGCACGTACGTTTTGCCATAAGGATTAAAGCCATGACCTCTGGATTAATTTTTTAATCAGAACTGTAGCTAAATTCGCGAACGTGATTGGTTATCAGTCGCAGGATTTGAGCACTAATAAGACAGTTGACGTTTCATTCCTGTGTAACTGGACAGTGTATGCGTTTGGGCGCGCTGCTTATTTAGCTACTGCGCTCGTTCTCTCACTTGTGGGAAAAAGTTCATCATTTTTTTTTTTAACCCTTAAATACGTGTAGCTTAAAAAAAGTTACCTAAATTTTTTTAGAATTTTGATATAACTGCTTTACGATGTATCGTCAAATTTTGTCTCTGTTCTGTTCACAGGCGTCTGATCCCTCGTACCATCCCTGCCTCAGTTGTGCACCATTCTGTCCCATCACCTTTATCAATTTTCGAGTCAAATATTTTGAAGTGCTTCGCGAAACTTTTCTCAAAGAATCTCTACGAATGTTATTTACAGACATGTTACATAACATGAAGAAATATACACGTAAACGATATTGATTGTCTTCACAAACAAAAGCTTTAATATCCTGAATTAAAAATGAAAAAATAATAATAATGGTCCCAACTAAAACGGGAAAACTAATTTCAAAGCATTATGTAGCATGCACGAAAAAAAGAAATCGGTTACAACTCGGCTACCACAGCCTAAGTAAGGTTGTAAAACAACACAAAAACTTACGTAATCAGTAATGAAATTAAAAAAAGTAATTTATTGCGTGCTCGAGTGTTTAATGATGTTTATGCACTAACATACTTCAGAGTGAAAGGTATTTGATGATACTAGTTCTGTTGATAAAGTTTAAGGTGATTGGGCTAAATATACTCTCCACATCTAAAAGTATACCGCGTTTTATTTTTTCCTCTTCAGCAGGAAACATACAATTGTATTCATTCACGAGGGTGGAGTGTCCAATATAACGACATAGATTTCATGACTTTTAGATAACTTTTCGAGAATTCAGAGTTTTTAAATATTGATCCCTGTATTCTTGAGAACATTAAAAGATGATCATTAGGCTTTTTTGGCAATAAATAGCGATATTACCCTCAAAAATTAGTTTTCTGCGGTTTGAATCTATCAAACGCCTTCTTTTCGATATGCGCTGAAAAAAACTGTAGACCCTTAAAGGGGAAGTCGATTCATCAGTTTTTACTGATTTCCTTCGTAAAAAGAAAGAAAAAAAAAAGAAAGAGATTTAAAGTAAAGGCAGTGTAAAATCACTGACTGTTTGAACTAAAAATCGCCGGTCCTAAATTTATTGTGTTGAACCCAAGAGGCAAAACGTGCATTACTTTGTACTCTGAGTTATGTACATAAATTTTCTTTTAGTGCCCACTTCTAGAGAATGACTTTGGAGAGAGGATCTATAAAATTCAAAAGTTTCCTAACCACCATATTTTGCCACCTGCCTTGATGAAAACCCCAAAAAATCTTCGCTAGAAAATTGAATGCAAATGAGTCTAAAACAGTTATGTCTTTGGAGTGTGAGCAACGTGGCTGTTCTTTCGTTGTATTGAAGATAACTTGATAAAGCGTTTGAAAATAAACTTAATTGCGTTAGCTCTTGATATTTTCCGGTTGATTTGGTAAACTTAACGACTTGCCTAAGGGTCAAAATCGCTCCTGCAATGCAAGTATTTGAAATGCACGTCACAAGTAACATTTAAGACCGCTATATAAGAAGACATGTAAATTAAAAAAAAAATGATAGTCTGACCGTGCCAATATTTTCCACAGTCCATAAAAGAATTTGTTTAAGCAGGTTCTTTCCGTAATATTGATTCGAAGGACATTTAGACCGAGAAGAAAGCGTAAAAGAAATTGGTTGTAGAACTAGGAACTTCAGAACCATGCGTGATGTTAAATAAATGTAAATGTACTGAGTCGATTTGACTGTTATGACCGAGACATCTTTTTGCAGCTAACTACAGTTCATAATTTCGTTAACTTTTCTCGGCAGTGAACGGTTCGTTTATTATTATTTACAAAGTTTTGACTAAATAATTCCTTTCTTTGTGCGAACGAAACGCTATCGACATTCGACGTATACCCCTGAAGTTTCTGGAAAGATAATTGACTCGCGATCGAAATGGAAGGTTTATTCATATAAATTGAGCGGCTACCATTTTCCTGTTCTTAGCTCTACACTAAGCGTTATTTCGAATGTGCGATCTTTGTCAGTTCACGAACCGCAGAAACACGAAACTTAGAGCAGCCATGCGCGAAGGAACATGAATCGAACACTCGAACGGGATGGCATAAAACATGATGTTGTATACACATGTTTTTACTCACACTCTTGGTGATTCAAGTTGAAGATACAACAGTAGTTATTGTAACCGAATAATTTTACACTCCTAAATGCGCTATCAGCCTTCTTAAATATGTATGATTAAAAGTATCTTTTTACAGCAGACACGGGAAAAATCTGCGGAAATCATTTGGTACTGAATTTAAGTCGTTTCATAAATTATTTGCTTGTAGAGAGACCTAAACAAACCTCAAATATCACATGTTAATGAAAGAACGAAGTGTATGTCTTCCTTGTATCCTGCAAGCTATGGATAATATTGAGTCTGAGAATATTCGAGATTAAATTGAAATAGAAACACTGAAAGAGAAATCTCTTGTGCCAAAAAATGCGATAAAAAGTTCGATATTCATCGGTGTAGTCTTCATTAAAAACCTTTGAAAATAAATTGCAATAACATAACGCGCAAAATGAATACAGACTAGTGATCAGCGAAGTAATTTTTTCACCATGAATCGTTGTGTTTTTTCGAACACACATGATCGATCGTGGTTTTCTGCGAACGAATGTACATGGTCGATCTAAAAATCGTTTGGTTCCGGCTGTCAAAATTCAGCCATGGTCAAGTATCTTGTACCACAAAAGAATATTTTCTACCGATGTCACAAAGGTGCGAGTTCTTAGAGAAATGATATCTGTTAACAGAAGCAAAAGGTACTCACTAGCTCTCTTCTCAGCCATGCTAAAGCGGTATCCATGTTTGGGTTTCCAGTTTTTCGAAGTTTTGTATCCAAATCTGGAACTCTTGGACCTAGCGGCGAAGGCCAGAACGGTGGCGAATCTGAGAAATCCATGTTGCTTTCCTGCAATGAGTCGTCGGAAATAACACCACCTTTTAATTCGGTGCTCGGTGATCATACAACAACTTCAGGATTACTGCTTATCCAAGCAATAAAAAAGCCAGGAACGGGTAAAACCAGTTCGCTTAAGTCCTTGCAGCACGGCACTCTAAAATTTCTTGCAACGGTCCATACGCGCGCCAGTAAATATTGTTTATGAATAAAATTATAATTCCTTGCGGCCAATCTATTGTTTAGAACACTTCTTGTTTTCTGAACGATTTAATTGTCCAACATTGTTTGCTATTGAATTTGGGGGCGACTTAACTGAGGGTTTATGCGCCCTCCTAGCCAATTACGTGGGAAAGTCCTCAAGAAACTATTATTTATAACAAACGGCTCGCTAACTCTCTGCTGGCCGCGGTTATTGTTTGGTTCTGAAACCACCGGAGTGCTGAAAAATTTGCATATCTAACTCTTTAGCTTTGTAGATATTGAATCATTTTGTTTATATTGTTACTTCAGCCAAAGAAATCTTGGATTTTTATAAAAGCCTAAATTCATCATGATATCTAGTCATAATGACCCTGATTTATATAAAACTCAAACAATACACGTCTTTATAAGCTACACTTCCACTACTTCCAGTTACTCCTCTTTCTAGAACGAAATCTGCTTTTAAAATTTGCTTTTCCGGCAACTTGTTCAACATTATTTACA